TTTCTGATTTGTTTGGGTGAGTTCCACTGCCGTGTCTTCCAGATGCCTGATGATGGTGTGCTGTTGAACCTCTCTAGTGTATTTTTCAGTTTAGTTATTGTTCTGTGACTTCTATTTGGTACTTTCTTATATTTCCTCTTTTTGAAATTCTTGCTGTGTTCATCCACTGTTCTCCTAATTTCAGTGAGTAACCATTACTTTGAGCTCTTTATCAGGTAAATTACTCATCTCCACTTCTTCTAGGCTTTTTTTTTCTGGAGCTTTATCTTGTTCTTTCATTTGGAATATATTTCTGTTTCCTCATTTTGGTTGGCTTTCTATTCTATGCATTAGATGAAATAGCTATCTCATTCTTGAAAGAATGACCTTGTGTGGATGAACCTTATCATACAACCCTTCCCTAGCTCTTGGTTGTCTCTTGAACCTTTGTGATTGTCTAAGCAGCCTGATTTATTATTGATAGCTCCTAGTTGTTGAGATAGTGCCACATTCTCTGAATGTTCCAGAGGGAGGGATCTATCAGCCCCTAGTTTCAGGGTGGTTGGAAGCTAGACCCTCAGGCAGCAGCTTCAAAGGTATGTGAATAAATAGTTTTGCAGGACAGTAGTCAGAAAGACTGCTGGTCTTCAGAACAGTCTGGAGACATACTCTTGGTGACAGTGGCAAAAAGTGTGGCTTCACACAAGTGTATGAACTCCTTTCAGGGAGGTACTGGTGAGCTGCAGCAAGGCCAAGGAAGAGTGCAAAGATGATATCCCCTGGCCTATGTTCACTGAGAGTACATTGATAGCCTCTAGATGTGTGGTAATCCTAAAGTGTGCCCCTCAGTAGAAGCTCCAGGATGAGTAAATAGGAAAACTGTGTTTCCTTCTGCTGTTTGTAGTGCCCTGGGGGTGGTAGCCTGCCAATAACTTTCTCTTCTATTATTTCAGACCTGTGGGGCCCAGAAACATAATTCTCCCCGGCCACCAGAGCCAGATGTTCAAGGGGCATCCCCTGTGTAGGCTGTGAATTCCTGCCGGCTCTCATGGGGCTGCAGGGATGGTACAGGGCCAGGATGTCCCCACCACTAGAAAGGTAGAGGGAGAAAGCAAAAATGACACCCACCAGCACCTCTAATCTGGAGAGAGTTTGAATAAGCCCCTCCTCCTCTGGCAGATGCTTTAAGATTAGCAAATGAATCTCCTTCATGTAGGTCCAGGTGCTCTTCATACTGCTGCTTTTGTGCTTGGTCCTGAGGCAGGTGGGTCTGCATTAGTTATTTAAGAGTAGAGTAGAAGCTCTATTCCCTACAACTCTTTGTTCTCCTCGATGTAAGCCCTCTTGGTTTTCAAAGCCAGACATTTGGGGCACTCATCTCTCTGGTGCAGGTCTAAAGAGTTGAGGTGCCTGGTATATGTCACAAGCCCCTTGCTTATCAGGGAGAAACTCCTTGAGATCCCTCCTGATTGTTGGTCACCACATGGTGGATGGGATTTTGAATGAGATCGTATCTCTGTCTCTTCTACATTTCTCAGTGTGGTTCTTTTATACTTTGTTGTGCAGGAGCTATTTAGCTAGTTTTCAGGTATTTTTCTGAGGGAATTATTTCATATGTAGCTGTAGATTTGCTGTGTCCATAGGAGGAGGTGAAACCAGGACTTACTCTGCCCTCTTGAAATGCCTCCTTGTTTTGTCTTTATAATAGCCATTCTAATGGGTATGAAGTGGTATATCATTGTGGTTTTGATTTGTATTTCTTTAATGAATTGTGATAGAGTGTATCCATGTGCTTATTGGTCATTTAATTTTCTTTTTTGGAAAAATATCTTCAAGTTCTCTGTCCATTTTTAAGCATGTTTTGTTGAGTAGCAGGAGTTCTTTATATATTTAGATATTAATCCCTTATTAGATATATGATTTGTAGATATTTTCTTCAATTCCATAGGTTGCCTTTTTACTTTGTTGATTATGTCCTTTGATCCACAAAAGTTTCTAATTTTCATGAGGTCCAAATATGTCTTTTTTCTTTTGTTGCTTATGCTTTCAGTGTAATGTCAAGAAATTACAAATTCAATGTCATGATGCTTTTCCCATATGTTTTCTTCTAAGAATTTTAGTTTTAGCTCTTACATTTAGGTCTTTATCTTTTTTTTTCTTAAAAATAAAAATGAAAATGCTGAAGTGTGCTTTTGAATTAATCAACTTCTCTAGGATTTTGTACAATTTTCCCCTTAATTATTGTTTGATGTTTTTTATAAGAACTAATTTACTAAGATATGGGCTGTGCTATTTGATATAATTTAATTCAAATAAAAGTTTTTAAAAAATTTTTAATGATTACCTGTGATTTTCTAATTTTTAAATTCAGGGTGTATTTTCCATCCTTTTGTTATCTTTTTAAATTCTCATTCAAGGTGCACCTGGGTGGCTCAGTTGGTTAAGTGTTGACTCATGGTTTCAGCTTAGGTCATGATCTCCGGGTCTTGAGATTGATCCCCATGTTGGACTTCATGCTCAGTGAGGAGTGTGCTTGAGGGTCTTTCCCCTCCTCCCTCTCCTTCCCCTTTGCCCCTCCCCCTGCTTTACATGTTCTCTCTCTCTTAAATAAATAAATAAATAAATACTTTAAAAAAATAAATTTTCATTTGATACTTTATTACTCTTGAGATTATAGTTTTCTGGATTGGCCTGACATTGTTTTTCCTTTGTTTCTAACCGTATACTAAGTCTTTCTGTGGTCTTTTCTCCTTTCTATACCTAAAACTTTGATGTTCTTATTTTATATTCTTAGTTTTCTCTTCTTTCTATACATTTATGAGCATTTCATACATACTCATAGCTATAAGTACCACTATATTTTGATCTTTAAGAATGTTCTTTCTGAAACCTGATTATATCATTCCACTGCTTACAGTCTTCTCATAGCTTCCTTTTCTTCTCTTAGAATAAAATCTAAACTTGTATGCAGCCTGACATATAAGAAGCTCCATGATCTGGTTTCTGATACTCTTTCCTGGCTAATCTGCTTCTTCTTTCCTACACATAATGTACTATCCAATTATTTTGAACCACTCAAATTTTCCAGAACATAATCCTACATAGTTGTCTTTCAAGATTATGTCACTCACTCATGATTACTGATAGAACACTCATCTTTTGAGATTCAAAGTAAGTATCTTTAAAAAACAAAACAAAACCTGAATTCAGCACACATACTACTCCAGATACTTTTAATTAAATAGAATTTAAATGTATTATTATTGAATTAAGATACTCCTTTTACACTTCTTCTGAGCAATCTCCTAATTTGACAATCAGATTTTATATTATAATAGCAAGGTTTTGGTGTTTGTCAAAAGTTCAGGTGTTTTTGTGCGTGTTTGTGTAAATATTTCCCCCTCTACACTTGATGTACTTAATTCTGTGAAATACTCATTAGAAGGTCATTTTACATTTGAACAATTTTATGTTGAAGCTATACGGTCATTTTCCTAGGAAAATAACTGGAAATAAAAGTATTTAATTATAGTAATGGAAACTTAAAACCAGAATTCTACTTTGTGATTATTTCTTGTTCTTTGTTTTTGTGAGTATACATGTGGAACTAGCATTAATTCTATTAGTCATCCAAATTTTGAATATTTTACTTTTAGAAACTCTTATTGTTAAATTAATGCTTATATATCTACCATATGTCATTTTCTCTGAGACCATCAATAATGCTGGGATATATAAAAGAAAATACTGTGAGCAAATCCTTATAATTTTAGTTTTCTGAAAAGGGAATAAGAGAGACTACATTTATGTTCCTAATTAGAGGAATACATATTGTAGGTTCACAGTATTAATTAAAAAACCAGAAGTAAATCTATAATTGTAATATTTTTTCTTTTTATTTTTAATCCAGTGCCACAGGCTATATAGATTGATATTTATATTTTATAATTGAAGTTATCCTTACCTGATCAACATCAGGCAAGTATAAAGAAATTTTAAAAGCTAGACTTTAAGAAACCTATGTAGCTGTAGGAAATTTGTATAGACAGAGCATTAATATCATCCAGAATATTCTGTGGCTATATTTCATTGCTTAAATGGTCAAGAGATAAATTCTATAGTCTTTTCTTTTAAATCATTCTAAAGAGAATTCCAGATAAGCAGTTTTGAGTGCACACTTTGCAGACAGTTACAGAAATTGGAATTATTAAGGTTTGTTAGTTAATTTATAAGACAAATTGTGGGAAGTTATGTGCCTCATATCCAAATTCCTTAAAATTAATTATTACCTTTATTGAGCAATTGCCATTTCTTTTGATATATGTCCCCACCTAAACATTTTAAGAGAATATAAAAATCACGTATATAAAAAGCTACCTTCATATATTTATTACTGGGTTTATATGCATAATTTAGAAAAAGTGGTGTGCATATCAAGGTACATTATTATTATACATATCCTAGGAAGTGGATGTGTTATATATTTTATTTAATCCCATTTATTGTTGGTCAAGTAGTGACTGAAAGCTGTTTAGAAAAGAACTATTTAGAATAACCTGTACACTGTATCTTAGTACAGTGATCATACTAAATTGTATCTATTCCTTAAAAATTAGGTTTAAGATTTTAAAATTAAAATGGAAAATGGAAGCATTCAGTGATCTGATAAAAAGTTGTATTATTTTTATTCAATCCCATTGTTCTTGGATTTAATGATTTAAGTGATCTCCTCTATAGCTAGCATCAGTGTATTTTATAGTAATGAAGTTTTGCCAAATACAGATTTAAACTAAATGGAAATATTGTTATTATGCTTTCTGTATAAAGATATTTGATTATCTTTTCCGTATTTATTAAATTTAAATATTTCAATTTCAGTTATTTGAAACATTCTTGTAGAAAGCAGTTGTGTAAAACATGTCTAATATGAAAAGGCACAGTGCATGATTTATCAAGTAGTTTTAATTATATTGCTTCGTATATAATTCATTTATAAAATGTACTTTTTAATTTTACTCTAGGAAAGTGATTTGAATGAAACTCTCAAGTCACTCTATAGCCACCCAGTACCAAAGGCAAACACTCCTGTCAGTTTGAGTGTGGTAAGTATTCAACTTTTAATTGATGTTTTTGTCATAGCACTTTCTCATTTAAGAACACATGCACCTTCAAGAAACTCTGCCACCAGGGAAACGTCAGTGCTCGTAAGAACATTACTGTATGATGATATTGGGACTTTTTGCCATGCTTCAACTATCATAATGTATATTAGATGTATATTTTTGTAGTTCTTAAATCACAGGTTTTTTATATATTACACTAGAAGTAATCAAATATGAGAATATTTTGTGAGGAATATTGATTTTCAGGTGGTGAACTCTGTCCATAATAAGGAAATACAGACACACGTATACACACACAATAACCTTCAGAAAATGAAAACAGTACATAAATAAGAATTGAAAGTATAGCATATAACTAACCATACGATAAAAATTGTGAGTGAAAAGTTTCTTCTTTTCCCACACTGCAAACCATCCTCTCTTATAAACACCAAACACTGAAAATATGATCGAAGTTTGTCAAACAGTAAGCCTGTGGTGGTGTAGATTACTTACTGCTGAAACTTTTAATGAGCACATTAGTATTTTGGGAGATTCTGTAAATGTTCAAAGTTAATGAACACAAATGTGGATATTTTCATTAATATTCAGCATATCAAAAAATATTAAAATTTATTTATATTCATTTTAGTTCTTCCAATATAATGGTAAATGGTGCAACTTACAAGGAAGAAAAATATATAATGATGCAAGAGAAATTGAAAGAAAAAGTAAATTGAAGTGTATGTAATCGTATTCATAGGTCTTTTGCTTTTTTGCACGATAAAGAAATTGTTATTTTCATTATATTCTTTGTTTGGTAATAACTTTATTCTTACCTAAATTTTTCCTGTAATTTTGCTTAATAGTCTTCTCTGACATTATTCTGTTCTTTCTATTTTTACTGTCAGCAACCTGGTTCAGACGCTTAGCACTTTAAATAGTTCTTACTTTAGAGTCTCTCTTTCTAATTCTTTTACAAAAGTCTGTCAGATTAAACTTCCTTAAACTATATAAAGTTTCTTGCTGAAATCTAAAAGCTCCCCGTTTTCTGTAAAATTTGTCCAAACTTTCCACCAGGCTTTCATGACCACACACTACTTAGCTTCAGTCTACCTTTTCATTTTAATGTCTCACTTTTTTTTCCTTGATTGATTTCCTACTCTGGTCACATTGTTCTGTTCATCTTCTTGAATGAACATCGTGCTTTCTCATTTGTACACCTTCCTTTTTTACTAAAGCCTCTTTGTATTCAGTCCATCTTTAGTCTAGAACTAGCTCACTTCCCACCTTTGTGAAACTTTCCTGTGTTGTTAACATCATAAAGTGTTCTTTTTTCCCTGTGATCTCCACACCTTTATGTCTGCACCCTCTTTTGTTGCACACTGCCAAAGTGGAAATATTTAATAGTCATTTGGAGATTGTAGACTGGAAAGCTAAGGATAACCTGGAATTTTTAACCCAGAGATAGTAGTCATCTGCAGAAATAGTTGTAGGAATACTTGAGTTATTTAAAGGACAGAATATAGAGAGAATAAAGCAGAAGCCAACGTCTAATTGCCCGAATAAACTGCATAGAAGAAGAAAGCAGATCCAGTGAAAGAATTAGGGAACAGTTAAGGAGAAACTCAGATTTGTAGGTCACTAAACCCAAAGGAATGCCAGGTTAATGGTTAGTGGAATGAAGTAGAAAGGCAAAGGAAAAATATTACGAACAAAGAAAAGCTCCAGATTATCAAAAATAAGTGTCATTCTTTGAAGGAGTTTTATATATAAGATGACTCTAACACTTTGTTAAAGGGTGGAGGAAATATAGGTGCTAAGATAATAGAGGTAGCTATTCTAGAGCATTAATGAGAGATTTTTAAAAGTATGCTGCCTTTAAATTGGAGTATCATTTGTTCTGGAGTAAATATCTTACAAAAATACATTTCAAAAGTACTGGATATTGAAACACTTCACCTTTATTAGTAAGAATCATAAATCAAAAACTATTAGACCTCTTAATATATAAGAATAGAAGTTACTGGTTTAAGTCACAGTCACTAAATATGTGATACTAAGCAAAAAAGTTAATATCTTTTGATTCTTTTTCTTCATTTGAGAAATTGAGTGAGTCCATTTTTGAGAAAGTTGGGGAATTATGTGAAATGATAGATGTATCTAGATATACTATGATAAAGCTATCCTAATATTAGTTGTTAGTGAATTGAAATTTTATTTCATATGGACAAGATATTTTGTACCGTAGCTGAAATAATCTTGTTTAGGGAATTTGAGTGACTGCGTTCTATTCTACGTATGACAGTCATTTCTATAATTTAAGCCTTCTTGTAAGCCTTTGAGCCAATGTCTATGGCAACTTTCAAATCTTGTACACCTTTTCTCAATACGGTATCAAAAGAATTGGCAGATTCACCTGGTTGATAAAATATTGTCTTAAATTTGTGTAAAATCCATTTAGTAATTACCATTTGATTTCAGCAACAACTTTTAACTAAAGTGTTGTGCTGTTCAAGACTGGCACAGTTGGGATCCAAAAGCACTTGTCTTCAGCTACTTGTTGAGGTTTTAGTTTTATGATGCCCAATTAAGATTGATCATCCTGGGAATTTTTGTTCTTACATAAAGTGGAAAGAAAATTTTGTTTGCACAATTTCCGATAGAAAAATGTGAGAAGCCTTGGGAAACTACTCTACTCTCTTACAATATCATATTTTGTGAATGCTCCAACACATGAATTTTTCAAGGTTTGACATTGAAACCACGAGAATATCACAGATTGTATAAAAAGTTAATATTTAATGTAAATGCTTATTTTGAAAGTACATTTCAAAATCATTAAATATCCACAGCATTTTCTACTCTCTGTTGAGAATGAAAATACTTTCTTTGAGATTTTTCTAGCATAAAATTAGCAAAACAGCATTTAAAATAGCATTTATAATTAATGGTACTTTCAGTGGATAATATGGCTACATGGGTTTGTCTCAAATACACAGCAAATTGTGTAAACTTCCCCCCATGAAAGTAAAATATTCATTTTTTCTCTCATATATTATAAGAACCAAGAGATATTTATTGCCAGTGAGCAAGTTCTGAAAGATCAGCCCTTCCTAGTACCGGTGAGTTAAAAGGACATTGGCTTCTAAAAATCATGATTAAACTGAGAAAATAATTACTTCTTTCAGTCTGTTTTTAAGATTCATTCCAGTCCTTTGGGAAATGGTTAATTTGATTCTTTTAAGAAAATTAATCATTTGGAGTATATTTTCTGTTTATACAATCTTTTAGAGCATAGTTTTATGAAATACAGTTCAATTAAAAACTCCTCCAAATAAAGTAGCTAATAGAGACCAAATCTATGCATATTCTCCATTGTCAGTAGTAGTAATGTTAACGTGCATTCACAACATAAGATTTCTGTCACATTTTTTGTCACAAGGTCTCAGGAGATCTTGTGATTTATCTCATATTGTTCTTCTCCCCTGGAAAATTTTATATTATGACTGTACTAACTAGCCTGTTTTGACTAGTTAACTGTGCCCAGTATTGGCTAGAATGTTTCTTTTCCAGTCTTTAATTATAAGACAGTATTAAATATGTCCTTATGTGATTAAGGTAGGAAAATAATTTTGGAGATTAATATGAACAGAAAATAAAACAATTCTGGTGATTTAGTTGTGCTGATTCTGGGTGGTAAAATTTGGGAACATTTGGGGAACATGACATACACAATATACTTTTTATGTAAATAGATCCATGAACTGTTATATTGCTTTGAATATTATAGAAGCTAATTACTATTTGTTTAGTGGGTGTCTGAGGGTCATATTTTGAGATCATTACATTTTTAAAAAAGTTTTAAATATTTAAAAATTATGTCCTATTGCTGCTTTCTAAATAATATAGTAGCTGATATGTACCAGAGAATTTTGTTGTGACTTACTATAGAAACTCGGGAATCTTAATAGATTTTGATATATTCTTGGGTAAGCAACCTCATTATTTTCCAGTCTCCCTAAATGTGTTTATATGTATATATATATTTTTTTCAGTAATATACTTTTTGGTCATAATAAACTTTTTCCAGGATTCTTATTTCAGTTTTAAAATTGAATATTTTTAACCAACACTTAACTCTTTGAGAAAGTTATTGTTCAATATCATATAAACCTGCCATGTTATTTAAGAATTGCTCAAATTCAGAAACCTAAATGTTAATCCTTGGCATTTATTAATTTAGTTGATGTATCTTTTCTTATTTTTTTCCAAATTACATACATATTGCTATCAAATTTTAATTCTGCTTTTCTTATTGATTTATTTCTATTTATTAGCATTCCTACTTCATTGCCCCAGATGTAACTGGACTCCCAACAATTCCTGAGAGTGTAAGTTTTCTGTTTTCTATATATTTTTTTAAAGATTTTATTTATTTATTTGACAGAGACACAGCAAGAGAGGGAACACAAGCAGAGGAAGTGGGAGAGGGAGAAGCAGGCTTCCCGCGGAGCAGGGAGTCCGATGTGGGGCTCGATCCCAGGACCCTGGGATCACGACCTGAGCTGAAGGCAGATGCCTAACGACTGAGCCACCCAGGCGCCCCTGTTTTCTATATTTTTTAATGCTTCTCATATTATGAATTTTATTTATTTTGGTCTCAATGCCTAAAGATTTCTGTATAGAGAAATAGAATACATTGTAATTATCTGTTTTGTTAGAAATAAGAAATAGGAATATCTCTTTTTTTTCTTGATGTGTCTGCTACTTTATTCCCTTCTTAATATCTGGTTGTAGGTAAGGAAAATTTTATGAGAAAAACTGTTTCTACCACTTGAGGTAGTTCAGTAGGATCACTATATATACATATGTATAATAGGTCCTGAGCTCTCCTGGATCAGGTAGAGGAAATATCTAAGACAACTCTACTTGGTAGGGGATAAATACAGGCAATGTTTAGGGAATTTGAGTGACTGTGTAATATTGTATAGAACACACATAGTTACTTTAGTGAACTGACTGTAGCATTTTCACACCCATAATTACTTAAGTGAACTGACCGTAGCATTTTAGATTACTTGTATAACCCTATGAAAATCTTAATGTCCTGTACTTGACTTCTTGATTTTAATTCAAGTGACATATATTTTGTAGGGCTTGAGGGATACTGCAAGAAATTATAAAAATTACTAAAGTTTGCATTTTATTTAGGGTCCTAATTGTAGCCATACTAGAAATAGTTTCAGTGTTTTAATAGTTATTATAAATTAATATTCTGTAGAAAAATTTACATGGAAAGTAGAAGTGACAAATAGGCTTTTGGTTGCTGTGTGAAAAGGAAATTTTATCTTATGTACTTTTTTTCAACTTCTCTTGGAAAGATACAATGAATCAGTAGAAATAATTCAATAAAAAGTTAAGAAACATCAACAGGAAAAAAATAAATTTCCAGAAATACTTATTATTTTTTTCAGAATTCTACTGTTTGTTCTTCTCAAAATGTTTTCAAACCTAAGTGTTTGGTTTCCAAAAGTACATGGGTTATGAGTGAATGAAGTCTGGGGAGACAGTTGTAAATTTTCCAATATCAAACCAAGACTGTCTAGTGGTATTTTTAGTACAGATGAGTCCAGATAACTCCTATGAAAAGACTAGATGAAGCTGTTTTTAATGTGGGCCTAAAATAGGTTATCAACACAGCATTCTGTGTTGAGAATTATTTCTCCATCTAGAAATTATTTTTCTTTGAGGCTATAGGGAAAATACTAAGGTTGAATGCCATAAAAGTAATCTATATGAAGAGCTGAATTTGAAGATGAGGTAGACCTCAAATATAGAAAACAGCAAATGGATTTCTCCCTACTAAGTTCAGCATCACTCACTGATACTACAGATTCTGTTATATGCCCTGTCATTACCAGTTTGTCCTGGTAAAATTTCTGCCTTCTGGAAACCAAAGAAACTATTTATTGGATTTCTTGGTTTCTTGCGCAACTAAAAGTTTTTACCTCCTAGGTCATAGTCTATTTAATACTACAGTTTCATTTTATTATCATAGGTTATTCAGTCTCTTCATTATAACTTTCTGACATGCTTAAGTTTGAGTACAGAAAGTTAAAAATAAGAAGGAGAAGTTCTAAAAATCAAAGTTAATGTAGCTTCTGCCAATTTTGATCTTATGTTGGGGAAATAATATAAAGTCTTAAATCAAGGAAATTAGGCTAACACCAAAATTTATTTGGTTATAGGAGCATAGAATAGGTCTGACATGGGATATAAAAAATAGGTTTTCCTTAGTAAAGGACCAAAGATCTGCTTTATGAATCCATCTCAATCTTTGTGTGCCTTGCACATGGTACATACTGTCAGACAGTGATGTTGCCTACTGAGTGATTGGCAAACATAAACAGACCTAAATATATTTTCTGGAACAGCAGTTCTCAAATTTCAGTGTATATAAGAATTATCAGGATTTTTTTTTTTTTAAAAAAAACAGATACTTGGAGCCATACTCTGAAGATTATAAGTCAGCAAGTCTATAGTTGGGGCCCAGGAAATCAGCTTCTTTTATAAGTACTTGGGGAGGGAGAGTGGAAAATGTATGATCCTCTGATTACCCTCTGAGAAACATTTTGCTGGGGTAGGATTATGTTTCAAATAATAATAGAACGTTATGTGCCTTTTGTAGCTGCAGAATAGTATTAAATTTAATTATTTTAATGAATACCATTTTTAATTATAACATCCTTTGAACTTTAAAACTTGTTGGTATATGTATAAAATATTTTCCTTCATAATCACCATGAGCTCTAACTTTTACACAATTACTTTTCACTTGTACAGAGAAATCTTACAGAATATTTTGTTGCTGTGGATGTGAATAATATGCTGCAACTGTATGCCAGCATGTTACATGAGAGGCGCATCATTATTACCTCTAGCAAATTAAGCACTGTAAGTACTTCACACTTCTCCTTTTAAGAAAAATGTATTGAGCATTTCACAAAAAGACCCACGAACCTCCGCAGACTTAGAAATGTTCTATGTGTACTTATGAGACAATATCTACATACTTTTTTGATATATGGTTTTAATCTGGCTCTTGAAGTACAAAAGTCTGATTTATAGAAGGCCTTCTCAGATGCATTAAGTCAGGTTAATTATTTTTTCTTATCAGGAGATGAGAGTTTTTTTTTTTCTTTTTAACTCTCCAGAGTTCATTTTAGTGCCTTCTACCATATAAAGAATTCTTAAGAGCTATTATGAGATCTTTATTATTCACTTGTGGCTTTTTCCATTGGAGCTACTTGAAAGAAATCAAGGGGCCATGATAATAGCTGCTATCCTAACCTGGTAATAGGTAGATTCATCTTTGTTGCCAAGTAGTGGTTTGGGAGTAGCTTCTATAATAGTTCTGATTTGGAGGAGCTCTTCAGGCTGATAATAACTTAAAAGTCAAAGTAGCATTTTTTTTTTAATCACAGGTTTTTATGCTACTCGCTGAAATGTTCTTTTGGAAGGTCTTCATTACTGTGGTAAAGGCAATGAGAATAGGAGTTTTCTTGGGTCATAGAAAAATATTCAAAAGTATTTTGCTAGGTTTCCTAACTTTTTTCTACTGTAAGCATTATAATTTTAATATTTTGACTTAAAAAATTTAATATAAATTTAAACAGATATTTATTAAAAACATGTAATGTTGCATGAAATTTTGCTTCCTTACAAATTTGGTTAATTGACAAGAATAAGATCATATTTTTTGTTTTGTTCTCCCATAGTAAAAATGAAAACCTCATTCTATGAAGTTTTAGTATGTTAGCAGTTTCAGGAGTTTTCTGGGATATCTATTTAGTCTTTAAGAATGAGAAGCATATTTTTCGGCAGGTTAAATGGCCACCCCAGGGCCAAACAGCTAATTAGGGACAGGTAATGTGAAACTGGGTGTCCTGATTCTAATTTTGGGTTATTTCCATTACTCTACATTTGAAAAAATACACTTTTGAGATTTTGAATTATAATATTGATATGCCCACTTTTCCAGAAATATTGAAAATATATTATTTTACATATTGAAAAGCACATTATATGCATTTAAACATATGATGTAGTATAATCAGAGAATAAGCACAAGTCAGTGACACAGGTAATTTGCATTTTCTTAAAATCATATTGAGAAATTTAATCTGAGTCATTTGGTACTTTTTATATATTTGCTTTTCTGCTATTTTTAATTTATCATTGAAGTAAAACCATTCTTCTCCCCATTCTCTTCCTCCTTTTAAACATTATTTTTTCAAGATTATAAATAATATTTCTATATGGGTATTGTCCTGGAGATTAAAAAGATTATAAAAACTGTCTCAGAGGCCTAGGGACTAAATCTTATCATGAAACCTACCATATGCTCCGCACTTTCTAGGCATTAAGGATCCAGCAGTAAGCAAAGCAAAGTTCAAATACTCTTGGAGCTTATATTGAACTGATGAAACAAATAAAGAAATGAATGAATAGAAATAGCTGTTATGTCTTCTGGTGGTGAGTGCCAAGGGATAAGTGATAAAGTGAGTGTGTGTGCAGGATGAAAGTTGTGAGGGGCAGGTTTCAATTTATGTAGAGTGGTCATGGAAAGCTGCTTTAATGGGGTAGTATTGAGCAGAGATCTCATTAAAGTGCAGCAGTGAGCTATGTGAATGAATGTATAAGCTTCCCTATTTACAAAAACATTTGAAATAAATCTGAGTATATGACTATTGTAAAATATTGGTGTTTGCTGCAATTTATAAACACCTCTTAATGTGGTAACCTTTCTCTGACTCAGTTTCTTCCCATGTAAACTGGGAGAATGGGAGTAATATAGTCTTAATCTCATAGGGTTGTTGTAAAGATTAAGGAGATCTGTCTCTGTCTCTATAGCTATGTAAACAAATACGTATATATATGCACATGTATAATATACATATGTATATGATGTGCTTAGAATTGTATCTGCATAACATTCAATCATGATGCAATGATTATTAACTATAATTTTATAAAAGACTAGATCTGCAGTTTAGAGTAAATGTTAACATGCCTACTACCCTTTAATTTTATTTGAGTTAAATAATAAAATTATTTTAATAAAGGCTTGGTATTTATTCAGGGAATTGTTTTTTATGTTTGAGGTAAACTTCTGCCAATTGTTTATGAAAATTCATGAAAACTTGATGGTGATGTCACTTCTAAGTTAACAGCTTTGTTTTGGTTCATTCCCTGGGACAGTAGGACTGATAAAAGAAACGTAACTCAAGCTTGCTTTCAGGATCTCCTTACCCTTCTTATGTGGGGGAAGCTGTTTTACTTCAATCTATCTTGAAAAATTCATACACATATCTGCTGTAAGTTCCATGCGTAGTAACATTTAAGGTCAAAGACCAGTACTATAGCATAAATTCGAAATAAGCTATTTTTTAGGAAGAATTTAGTGAAATCTCTAAAACAACCAAAGAAGGAATAGTTAAGTGTTAATGAATTGACTTTCTTTTAAGCTTTTTACATTCTTATTTTATATATCATGAAGACTATATTGTATTTGGTATTAATGCAAGAAATTTTACTCATTTTCCTTGTTTTAAATCTACAGCCAAAATTTTAACTATTGGAAGAACATATATAACTTAAGGTGCATTTACATTTATAATTTCATTATGGTTTTAGGAATTTTGTTTGTATGCGTTTACTCTTCAACACCATATTTTATTAGAATCATGGTAGTCAACCTTATAGCTTGCTGGGTGTTTAGTGGTGATACACTGGTAGAGAATCAGATTGCTTAAAGGTCTCTTTCCTTAGGTACTGTTTGTAGTTAAAATTATAATTTGTAATTTATAGAGATAAACTTTAAAATTAAAAAAAAATTAGTCTTGAGATACGTTAGTAGAACTATCAAGAGTAGTGATATGTTTTTAAATTTTTCATGAGTTTACCTCCATATTAAAGTGTGGTATTTTTTATTTGTTTTGTTTGTTTCAAGTCTTTATGTAAGTTCCAGTTAGTTAACATACAGTGTAATATTAGTTTCAGGTGTAGAATTTAGTGATTCGTCACTTACATACAACACTCAGTGCTCATCGCAGGTGCCCTCCTTAATGCCCATCGCCTATTTATCCACCCCACCCCCTGAAGTGTGGTATTTTGTTAGGACCTATTATTACATTTTTCTGTATTTAAGTTTAATGAATTGAGACATAAACAGTTTAGTGTTTATTCTGTTGATACATACATTATCAAGTTCACACAGAAGTGTTCCTGGTGGGGCGCCTGGGTGGCTTAGTCGTTAAGTGTCTGCCTTCGGCTCAGGTCATGATCCCAGGGTCCTGGGATCGAGCCCCACATTGGGCTCCCTTCTCTGCGGAAAGCCTGCTGCTTCCTCTCCCACTCCCCCCTACTTGTGTTCCCTCTCTCGCTGGGTCTCTTTCTGTCAAAATAAAATAAAATAATATCTTTAAAATTAAAAAAAAAAAGAAGTGTTCCTGGTAATACTGAACAAGAACACTGATTTTATACATGCTGTAGGCAGGCCCTAGATGTTTAAGCCCCAAGTGAATCTCTGATAGACTAGCAGAACATCATACCAAAGTCTCATGTATTCAAAGCAAAGGAATAAATCATGATATTACAAGAGTATATCAGTTGACTTATTGCTGTTTTGTGACCAGAGGTAGAGAAGATTGCTGTTTAAAGTCATGTCATTGGTTCTCAAATCAGTCAGGCATGAAGTCTTGTCATATGCCTCTATAATTGTACCTCACCAGACTTTCTTTAACTAGTCAGCTGGGGCTGTGCATTTTGTCTCAAACACCCGGCTGGCCAGCGTCTGACAGGAGCTTTCTCATCATCCTGTCAGTAATATGTTAACTAGAGTGTATCTTTGTGGCCTGTAGAAGCAGGTGGAAGAGATGCTTCTCTTTAAAGCAGATGTCTAAATGTTAGCTACTATTTTGACCAATATTTAGCTGGTATATATCACCCTCTTAAAGTCTATAAGCACATTAGTTACAGAGATTGGATTGTATAGTGCATGTTCTTTCTGGAATATTTAGAGCCCGCAATATGCTATGAGTGCTGGAATTGTGTTAATAAACTGTAATTTCATCCTTTGTTATAGTTGCCCCCAGGCTTATTTAAGCATATGCTTTTCTCTCCTTCTCTCATTAATTCCATCAAGGGCATATGCAAAAAGAAATCTTGTGGTCTCTGGAAAATCTGCTATTAAAATGTAGATTTTATAGGTTTAGACTGAAGGGGAATCCAGAAGATTTTAACCTCTCCATCTGGATTTTACATATTCTTGATATGTCTCTTAATGGTGCCACCTGTATCAGCATTTAATCTGAAAACTGAAGCACAGAGAATTTTCTTGGAGATTAAGAATTGAACAGTTGGTGAGAGAACAAAGATGACCCAGGTCTGCTTCCTAGTTAAGACTATTGAAGTGTGTCTGTGCCCCTGTGTTTTTAAAGCTGCAGCAGACTGGTGCAGTTAAAAATTGCTATCAAGACCTTTCAGGGAGAGATTCTAGGAACAATCTTTAGATATTTTTAATTCTTCCCAGAGCCCATAGCAACCAATTGTCAGCTGAAACTGACATTAGAATTCTACTTAGTAGATTAGAATTCTACTTACCAGTGTATTATTTGACATGTATACCACTCCTCTAAGCATTGTATTTTCATTCAGTGCTAAGTGAGTGTGATTAGAGTGTGGAAATAGGACTGTTGCGTTCATCCTGTGACACTGTTGGAAGATAAGTGTGCAGTCAGGAAACTTCTGAGCAGGAGAACTGGAGGTGCTTATATCTTCCAACTCTTGTGGCGATAGGTGTCTGTTCTTCACGGAAACAAGCACATATTTCTGCTTTAGAGTTTAGTCTACTTGTCACCTAAAAGTAAACAATTGGCTTTTAATGTAAAAAC